TGTCCCTTAAAATAAGTATATAACTGTGAGTATAGCGCAAGATCAAGTCCACAAAGCTGTTCACTGTGCCTGTACTGTAGACATTTAAGGTTAAGCAGGATGCTACTCCATCTGCCACATTCTTGATCCAGTAACCAGGATCAGAAGGCACTGCAGGGATATTGTCATATAACAGAGCACGTTAGGTTACCTGACTGAAGGCTAAGCAAATCAAACACAAAGCCACGGCAAGGATCAGAAGAATAATTGGTGAAAACCAAGCACACTGACTCACTGGTCCTAAAACCATCAGAGGAGAATCATTTGGACCACTGCTCCTGGTGCAAAACCCACTAACACTCCCTAGAAAGCCAGGCAAGTGGAGGGATTACCTAAAGCGATGTAAGGGAGATGAGAATTTACAGACAGAACAGAGAATTTGGGGACTGTGTAAAATTTATCACGAGATTTTTGCAACATGCAAAACTCACTATGGGATGTTTAAGAGAAGCACCAAGGGTGTGTAAAGGGAGGGAGTAAGGCAGACTGGAGAGAAGCAAGCATAGAAAAACCAAGGACAAAGAGGATAAAGGGGGCCAGTCCCACATAGACAGCTTACAGATTACGTTTCAGTGCATGAGCCTCGCGCTCCATCGCTGCACTCTGTCTGATTTACTTACTGCACCCTACTCCTAACTGGTCTTGTGCGCACGTACGCGTCAATGCCAGCAAACTTCAAGTGGGACTAGCCCCTGGAGGGGGACAATAGGCACAAACATGAGCCGCTGGAGCAGGACCCCGTGTCTGAGGGAGCTGAGGGTCTAGGGGCCACCAACTGGGAGAGAGGGGCTGAATGCCAGTCACCGCCCGGGCCGTCTTGCAGCAGCTACCCAAGAGCCGTGCTGCGGCCGGGCACACACCCACAGGGAGCCTCAGTCCCGGCCAGCAGGAGCATGGAGGGGGGAAGACGGGGGAGCTGCAGCACCCGAGCACGGCGGGCACTTACACAGGTGCCAGCAAAGGCACTGCTCCCCCCACGTCGCTTCGTGGCTGGCCGCGTGCTTACTGTTTGCAGGGGCACGCACCGGTACTGGGCTGCACCCTCACGGGCTTGGGGGTTCGGAGTCACAGCAGCCTTGGATCCTTTGCACTGCGAGGGGAAAAATTCCCCCAGCCCTGACAGCCAGGGGATTCTGCTCCCGGGAACAAAGTGAATACCCACATGGACACAAGAAAAAACACTCCTGTACAATTTCTTTAGTTCTTCTGTTTCCATATACACCTCAGAAACCCGAGTGGCAGTTTAGCTTGTTTAGATATCTAGAATACACACACAGTACAGGAAATTATTTTATTCAAATATCTGTATCATTACAGAGCCTGGCTATGATAAAACAGGAATAAAATGTTGATGATTCCATAGATGCTTTATCATCAAACAGCTAAAATTCACCAAGACTACGAATACCGATTTAAATATTTCTGTATCAAAGAAGTTATTATGCTTTCAAAATGGTCTTTAAATATCTTCCCAAAGAAAGAATATATACAGACACTATCTTTTTTTTAATCAGCAGGTATATAGGCACTGCATTTGGTTTAGAAATTAGTCCATCAGCTCCTGGTTTTTCTTTTTTTTTTTTTCCTCCCCTCAAGCCACCACACCAAAATTCTGAAGGCAATGATCAAGAGTTTCCCTGTATTTTCAGTATCTTATGTGATGCTAAGGATTTTATTCTACACACACTTGGGTACACATACATGCAGATGCATGTATACATATTCTTTTTGCATATAATGACTTTGATAAATCTAGGTAACTCCTTTAAGGTCTTTAACATGAGGCCTAATTATACCTCTCAAATCACTGAAGGAAAAAACAAATAAAAAAACCCACCATGAAATTAAAAATAATTAAGAGCTCCAGCTCCTTTAATGTAGTTTCTAAACCATTTCAGTGATGGCCTGTGAGAGACTTGTATGAGCACTTCTTGCAAGCAAAGCTACCACTTGGCAACTACTACATTTAAATAAAAGTTTTAAAACCCTTCTCTGGGTATTGTGGCATTATGTATTTTTGGTGGATGGTCACAAGAAGCATTGGAGACCAACTGCAAGGGTTTCCAAAAGGGACCAATCAACAGCAGCTAGAGCCCAACCAACAGTGTACAAATCCACGGCCAGGGATCCTCTGAACAGACAGACTGCAAACACCACCTGCAAAATCCCAAATGACTGACTTCCAACCAGAAAGCCCCAGCCCACACCTACGCTGGTTTTACAACTAACATGTTTCTAGAAGTCATAGTGTTACAATCCAGATAGGGCAAACCAGGGGGTCACATGGTTTCAAAATTCCCTTGGGCTAAATTAGGATGAAATGGCACCAAATGATCAGCTAAAATTTAAGAATGTTTTATTTGAGATAGAAGCAACTTAAGCATGAAAAGCATAACAGTAGGCTGTGGGTTTTATCAAAACCTTTTTAAAGGAGATAAGAAAAAGAAAGGAAAGGGAGAGAGAGAGATCCCACCACCCTCGGATCCTGTGCTGAGGCCAGGCACGGCCCCCCGGGCAGTGGGCACGCGCGAGGCCTCGGGGGTTTGTGCCTTTTCTAATCCAGTCCCACCCGTCGGTCTTGCCCGTCGCACCCCTCGAGGGCTGGTGAACCCTGTTCTTCTGCAGAGGCGCTCCTGGGGGTTGGTCAGGAAGGGCCGTTCGGGCCATCGTGAGCCCCTTCCTCAAATGAAGTTTCCATGACCTGTGCCCACACAAGGCGGACTGTCCCGCTCGGCGCCTCGAACGTGGAACTGCGCATCCCCCGGCACAGCCCTGCTTCCCACGCTGGCCGGCTGCTCCTCTGCCAGCCACCGTCCCACAGAGAACTCGTCCTACATCGTTGCTGGGGACAGAACTCCTTGACTGCAAAGTCTGAGACATTTAACTCTCACAGTCCCTCACACAGAGCAAGACTTGATTTTGCACAACAGACCCTGCCCTGGAACGCTAGGAGTGCCTCACTCGATGACAAGACTAAGATCTCTGTACGAGACTACACCCATTGAATTTGGAAAAGGAATTAGCATCCAAACACCCAGCCTCTGAGCACCCGCCTAACATTAAAATCCCTTTTTTCAGCATGCTGTTACAACCTTTCTAGCAACATTTTTAGCCAACCCTGATCCTTTTGAGTTGCTCCACTCAGGGCCCTGTCCAAAAGCAATAGTGCACAAAGATCTTTGAACACTGAGAGGTCCTTTGGACGTGGCTCACGCAGCAGAGCTCCACAGCAATACCACACTGTAACCAAAAGTAACCCCAAAACAGAAAGCTCTCTAGTTACATCCAGAGTTCTGCACCAAAGCTAATAAATGCCAAGTGGCAGGGCTTGTTCACACCAGAGGTTATCATGACTCAACAAATCATCAACCAACTACATCGACTCAAGCTAAACTGACAAGGCTGAAAATTTTTAATCACATTCCAGAAGATTAGTCTGGTTTTGCAAACTGTGCAAGCCCTGACTACAGCTGTGTCACAAGCCATACTTTGGACTGAACATTCTCCCTCAATTTTCTCAGTGTTTCAGGAAGGAAATAAACTGTACTTGGCACAGAGTGCACTGTATTAGTACAACCGGCACACAGCCAGCATCGGTCTATTCCCTGATCTATTCCGCTGCTTCTCATCATCCTACTTACAGCTCTTCAGATCTGCTTCTCTTCCTACATCACCCTATAAGGTAAGTGATCCAGAAAGTAAAAGATACATTATGGCCTCTTATCACCAAACAGCCATAATTTTGCCAGGATGATCCAGGAATCTTGCCCGTACAGTGCTGGAAGAGACAAGGGAAAGAGTAAGAACTGGAAATGCATACGGATGCCAGTGTCAGTAGATACATTAACAGGATGCGGTATGAAGGCAAATGTTCACGGTGCTCTATTTCCAGATTAAAAAGAAAAAAGTTGAACTATAAAGTTCATTAGAATAGAGTTCGTAAATTTTTGTTGTGCATAAACTCAGGGTGGGTGGGAGTGTAGTTACAGACTGCACAGTAGTCCAAAGGCTTAGAAAAAATCCTTTTGTACGGAAGATGTTAAACACCGCTTATGGTTATTACACATCCCATATTTCTGTGAGAAAAGCCTTCAGCCTAGAAGACTTAGTTGAATTCCAGCCTAGTTTTCTGATCACCTTAGTATCTTCAGTAAAAATCTAAGTTTATCCCACTTAGAGACACAGTGCATTTCCCAGAGAAACAGTAAAATAACTTTGGGCTACACGTACCTTGTGAAAAGTGAACTTTTATTTTTCTTATATAAACTTAAAATAGAAAGCTTATAATAAGGCTCACCTTTCATGCAGATTTTGAAAGTTTTAAATAAGCTAAAGAGAACAGATATTTACTCAGCTATGTCATTATTAATATTAGCAACTTCAACAGTCATATAACAACAGTTACGAAGACAGAATAAAACTATAAATACATTTGCAGATGTCTTAGAATCCCATTTTTTGGATAAAAGAAAAAATATATGGTACTGTAATAATTATAAAGCAGTAGATTTGTCAGTTGGAATAATCAAGATCTGGTCCATTGCCTTAAGGTCACTTGTTCAGTTTATTAGATTTGTTTAAAAAAACCCCAACCAACCAACCAAACAACACAACACAAACCAGCTAAGGACAACTGATTTTCTAAATCTGTATGGAACAAAGCTTTTTGCCTCTGACAAATCTGAATCTATTTCATCCTTCTCTTGTAGTAGCAGCACCAAGGAATACGATTGGAACTACAGACATCCACCACCAACTACCCAGTTACCCACTTATATCAAAAGGGTCAAACTCCACTGCAACACACAGCGCTGGGCCAGTAACATCAGCTGGGCAAAAGGCAATAAAAGATTACGGGGCCAATTCTTATGATGAATTGAGAGATCAGAGCATTCCTATACTTGGAAGAAAAGCCACATTTCTGGAGCCATACACTGTCTTACCAACGTCCATCAAATTTTGCACAGTGGATTCATTCAATAGTGACATTTTCTTTCACAGTGACATTTTGTACATGTGAAAACAATTATTTCACTACTGCCACAATATGTTTCTTCCTCTCTGACACAAGTGGCACAGATCCTGGTTTGCTGTGCTTACGACGATTCAGTTCCCTACAAACAAAATCCAGAAAAATGAAGTTCAGTAGTCAGCACAAAGACTTAACAAATACTAGCTTCCTCCTCAACCTACTAATGGAGACATCTTGCAATTTAAACAAAAAAACCTAATTGCTCTGCTTTTATTAATGAAAAGCCATGTACTTCCTCCTTCGAGAGCTGTCCCTTTGAAAAATAAATTTAAAATTTCCTAATTTAGGAAAGTTTCAAAGTGAACCTCTTCTTGGGAGCTCAGCTTACTTGGTTTTTATGCCACCAGGATTTGCTGCTCAAGTTTGTAGTGTCTTTCAGCTGAGAAAGATGACTAAAACCCACCACTTTCTGGTTTTACTGTTAATTTAATGGCTACAGCAAAGTACACCACCTTCTGCTCCTAGAAATTCCAATATGGCAATGATCCAGGAGACAGAAAACACTCATCTTCTTGTCTGGCATTAACAAAAAAAAAACCCAAAACAAAAAAACCCAAACCACAACAAAACAAAAAACCTCCACATGCCCAAAGAGCCCATTCTGTGTCCACTGCAACACTGCATCATGTCACACTTAACAGAGCATTGGGGCTCCTTCCAACATGGTATTTGCTCCCATTTCTTCAGTGGCCTTTGGGAAGCAGCCAGTCCTCACTGATACTGGCACTTGCCTGCATTTTCTTTATAATCAAAGGTTAATCGTTCAGTAGTTCACGATCATTTATTCAGACGTTAAAAGCAGCTCCCACTTGTCCCTCCCACACACTGTAGCTCCACCACTCCCATACATTGCTGCTACAGCACTGCAGCGATGCATTGCATTAAGATCAAGAGAAAACAAAGCCAGAAGAGGAAGACATACTTTCGCCGACGAGCTTCTCTCATGATACGTTGCTCCTTGATTTGGCAAAATATACTTTTAGGCAAGTGACGGTGTTGAGCTATGCGTCTGATCTTCGGGTGATACTGAAACTTCTCCTTCAGCTTCTGATTGTAATTCATAGCTGCCTTCTCTCGTGGTGCAAGCTATGGGGAAAACAACACAGACAAGCATGTTTTAGAAGAACAGGGATTTAATTGTCATGATTTTCTCTACAAAACAAAATTTTAACTTCTAATTCAAATGGCTTACTTCTTAGCAAATGGCTGTAACCATATGAACTTCAGAATTAGGGTAGGTTAAGTATCAGAAACTACAATTTCAGCAATACCCTGATGCGCAAACACAAAACATCATCACAGTTTCCAAGTTCAAGCAACTGAACTTACTCCTTGAAAATCAGATTTTAGTGTGCTGTAGACAAAGAGAAAATAGAAATAGCTGAAGTAAAACCTCTTTGATCAGAGTCTGCCTGCTTTCCTAATCTCTGATGATGATCAATTTTTGCTGTGAAACAAAGATTAGCAGGCATTTTAATCACCAGCCAGTGTAAGTACAAATGCTAAAAAACTAATTGTCTTCATGAACAGCTTGACAGACAGCTCTTTAGGTGGCCTAAATCTTACCCAGCACCTTGATCCATTAGGAAGCACAGCGCACATATCAGATTTCAAGTATTGCCTTGACTATATGGCACACAGGGAGTTCCAACTTTCATCACACAGATAAAAATATCTTAGTATCACAAACACATGAAACACACGTGAGCTGCTGTTACAAGAGACTTTAAATTTATCCATGTTTAAAATTACATCTGAGCCACCATTAATGACACTGAAAGTGAGAAATGCCTTTCCCTGACAGCTAACCTACAGAGGATACTTTTCTGTTTCAGCTTGGCATGTCTCCTTTGGTCCTAATGCTTCTTTATCAAAAGGAAAAAAATCTCTGCATGCTGTGCTTTTGTTTGAAGCGTGCACTGCATCACGAGGAATGTCAGTTTCTATATATTTTGGATTTGCTTGGATCTCTGGGAATTTCAGATGCATTTCAGTCTAGGGAGATTTCATACAAACAGAAAATCTGTTAATATTAAATATTAACAAGGAATAATGCTATCCTCGTCTTCCTGCCCAAAATACACACTATAACTCCAATATTTCAGACATCTTATAACCCTTCATATTCTCAAACAAGCAGTGGCACAAGTCTTTTGCCCTCCCATGTTTATTCCATCCACTACTACCTGCACCTAAAGTATCAAGGCAAAATAGTTCAAACAACTTCTATTTATTTAGCTTTGCAAATGACTCAGTTTCACTAATTTCTTATTTTCTCAAGAAAAATCAGAACCCGCATTTCAGATGCCAACAAAAAAAAAAAAATCAACAGTAACAAAACCAACAACTTCATTACACACAGAAATATATAAATATACCTTACATTATTATGAAACATGCCTTTTCCCCCCCTTTGAAATCACCAATTGGTTATTTCTTCTCCACTCTGGAGGTCACTTTTAGAAGTGACTTCTGTTAATGTATTTCAGGAATTCTGAAAAAATTATTATCATACTCAAGATAATTTTGGTCTGAAACACCATTGATGGTCTGAAAGCAAATATTAATAAAACATATGGCAAAGGAGTTTTTCCTTTGGGACAATAAGGAAACCAGATACCAGATGCAGAATTGCTCATTCCTCAGAAAATTCTTATGCAGGCATCAGAGATACGTAATGCTCTTAATCTGTTTCTCCACACCCTCTTACTTGTAAAAAGCAAATCCTTCTGCTTTACTTATATTTATATTTATCATGACCTCCCAAATTGCAAAAGAATAAATTTTACACTCTTAACCCACTAAAACTACACACCCCCCTTACTGAAATTCCTTTTAGTGAGCCAGTCCAAATAGCTGGTTCACTCTCAATAAATCCCAGGTGTTCCCACTCCGCAGAAAACTGCCAACATATTCCAAATTAACGAGCTTTTATTTTAATTAAATGCAATGATTTTCCTTTAATTTAAGAAGAGCAAATTGCTGCCAATTTAGTATAACTTTGATGATTCTACAGACAAGAGGTGAATCTGTAAATTAACGATACATCCAGGATATCTTACTTAAAAAACCAATATAGATTAAGAGGTTTGAGCGATTTCATTTTTACATGTAATGTGGTACACAGAAAGGCACGTAGCTGGTGACTTTCTGTCCAAGTACCAAATGCCAACGCCCTGTGTACCAGGCTGGGCTAAGTGCACCCTCATCTACACGATGGTAAAAGAAAATTCTGCAGTAATGACAAGTTTCTGTCTAGTTATGAGAGCCGGCAGACAGCTAAGAAAGCAGGCTGCAGTACTGCGTTGAGTTCCAACCTCTCCCTTGCAAGTCATTTTAGAAAGGTCAGTATAAACGGCTGAAGGCAACAACGTTACCTCCCATTCTGTTTTGAGCTAGAGAAGATGCAGGATTAGAGGTTTTGTTTATAGGGACTAGAACACTGCAAAATGATAAATTAGGATTACACGACATCGTAAGTAGAAGACATGCTCAAAGATGATGCATGACCCTTTTTTCACACATTTCAAAAGTGTATGTGCAACTTACTGCCTATACGATGGAAACAGAAATTACGTGGCAGAAAGACAGCTGATTTGCGCCACCACAGCAGCACTTCACAGCAAACATCTAGAGTGAAAAAGGGAGAAAAAGAACTCTAAAATGCAGCCAAATTGTCAGCAATAGGAAAATGTGTCCTCGAGTAAACTGCCTATGCTTCTCTCCTCCCTCCAGATGATGGAGGCTGGTTATTTTTCCCATCTAAGCAGAACAAAGATAAGCATTTTTCCAGAGCCCTGATTGAAGAGCTAAAACCACCTTTAACAAAACAAAACAAAAAAATCTCCTTTTTAAGAGGGCTGTATTTGTACTGTGCAATATTTGAAACACCTCACTATTAGACTCCTGTAATTCAGCACGAGAATATGAAATGGCTGTTTATCTGTCATGTCCAGGTGGCCTTCTAGATTACAGCAGACAGAGCAAGTTGCAACATACTTTTAGAATGCCAATGTATCCCAGCAGTTTTCTACAGCATAGCTTGTCTTTACTTATTTTTTTCCATTGCTCTGCTGAAAACACCTTTCTAAATCTATTGCCATAAAATTTATTATCCGTTGCTTCCTTGGACCAAAAACCTACGACGACTTTACATCTAAATGGATAACAAAAAAAAGAAAAGTAATGTAGATGTTAAGAGCACAAATCATAGCTAAAGGGATGAAGTTACACATACATTGAGTCACAAACCTGGAATGACTATGAAAAGAATGCCATGTCACACAATATCTGGTACTGCTTGTTATCTGCCTTATCTCACAAAAAGCAACTGTATACTAGAAGCAGACTGAAAGGATATACAATTACTTAGACAGTTTTGATGCCCTCCTGCTAATGCACTTCGCTAGATCAAAACCAAGACTTGTAACTGTACTTGCTATCTTTTTCAGTCCTTACTCAAAAGCTGTTATTCCTGCACTTTGTAGAAAAGCAGCAAACCTGTGCTCCACAACTGTTACACTCGCTTCTCACGCTAGATTCACACTTACTGAATAATTCCCAAGCAGAAAGTTTTCTTCTTCAATTGTCCAGTGGTCTGTTCTAATTCCTAGCTACTTTGGAAACGTAACAGAGCCAAACTATGCAGCCGTTACTCACAGAAGCAATGCTGCTAAGCATTTACACTCTAAGAACTGCAGGTGTAGATTTTTTTATAACGTGTCAATACACTGAAGAACAATACAGCTTTTTGATGTTTTACTGATAGTTCATTGCTTTCACTACAATTCAAAAAACCCAATCTACCCCTTTCTTTGTATTAATTAGATTAATTCCACTCTATTAACTGAAAACTACTCTATTACTGCTGCTTTTCCAGCCTTTTCACTCAGACAAGGCTCTATTTTCTTCCTTTCCTCAAAAGTCAAAGTCAACTTACCTTTTCAGAAATCCCAAGCCTCTGCAAGAGCACAGGTACAAAAGCCTCACACATACTTAACATGTCATATTTTATGTACACTATTTGAACAGCCTGGAGTATCACAGAAGTCTCGTTTAATTGAGTCGTTTGCTTCTGGACATGCAGAGCTAGATGTTTACTGCTTTAAAAATAACACCTGTTAAGTCCTATTTAACAATAATTATTTATTATTTAATCAACTTTTATTAAAAACCCGTGAACATGGCAAATTATTTTAAGCAACTTCTGCCCCAGCTCCAACAGAGAGATTAGGGTTTTGTTACCCCCATGTAAAACCCATGCAGACTTAACTGTCAGTGGAGTGGAGACACAGCATGCCTCTGGCTCCTCCAGACTTTTATCTTTACTTCACTGTTTCACTGATTTTGAATAACAAGTGCCATGCAAAATACATTAAAAACCCAAAAGAAACATGCATGTCAGAACTGATGACTGCTAGGGTAGCCACGGCTCAGAAAGTACAACTTTCCAACTGGATAAATGTTCATCAGTCACAACATAAGCACTATATATTCACTACAACATCCCTGGAACCCCGCAATGCTAAAAGCAAGTTAAGATTAAATACTCAAAGGAAAAAAAAAGTTTGATTACCATGTTTCTTTCTCTTTCAGGAGGCTGGTTTCCATCCACCCCCACCCCAAAAATACTCATTTTAAAATACAATGTATTACAAGATGTTAGCGTTATATCAGAAATACAGTGACCTTTGGATGAGTCATTCAATCAAATCTTCTCAGCGGAGAAAAACAGCAGACCAAGCAACTAAGCATTTAAGATATTCTGACACTTCCGACAGAATTACTGAATGTTCAGCTTTGAATATTCAAAATGTTCAAAAAATAGCCACAGACTATGGAAGAACTGGACATTTATAAAATAAGCAAGCACATGTCCACAAAGATAAGAACACCAATCCTCTAAATAGAAGGAGCAGGTTCTAAATAAAAACAGCGGAACCTGATAAATAGCCATTAACAGTTGCAACATTAAGAATCCCAGGAACTACCAGGCTGGATCAAACAAGGATTGGCCCAGCTGCCAGAATCCAAGCAAGTTTTCCGAGGTATATCCAAGAACATGATAAGCTACAAAGATTCCACTCTTAGGTCCTATTAGCAACAATTACTCTCTAAACATCCAAAAAATAAGATTTTATAGCGCTCCTAAAAAAAATTTTTTAACAACTATAGCAGCTTCGAACAGTTACCAATTTAATATCAAAACCCTGTGTCTTGCCAAAGTCAAGGCTTCAATAGCATCATACTTGAACACATTTCCACACAAGTCATGGGGATGTGAAACATTCTCTCTTCTTATTACAAAATAATTCTTTACAAGTTCATTAGTGTCATCCATGTGACATGAGAGCAGTTTTTCTATATAATTCACTATATCCCTTGTAAGTTCTTCCAGTATTTCTAAATAATTTTGCTTGCTTAAGATGTCTTTTGATGTTGTAAGGTGTTTTTTTAAGATAGGATGACAAGTTTTGTATTCCCAAACAAACAAAAACCTAACAAACAAACAAATCAAACAAAAAACCCCACATGCCACCTGACCTGAGGGCTACAGATATCTATTGACTTAGTTCTCTTGGGAGCTGATAGCCAAAGAGCTTTGACATAAATGCTTACAAACCCTCACACATACGCATGCTACAAAAGCTGTATTTGTGTCACCCTGCAACGGCAGAACCGAACCGTATGTGCAGCTTCGAAGAGGTTATGTCAAGCAGCCACACTGTACTTATAATAATTAAAAAAAAAAAAAAGACAAGCTATTTCATGTAGGTTTCACTGTCAGGTCAAGGGAACATGAGTATTAATGTGCAGACCATATCCAACACCCAGCAGACATAATTGGTAGTGTCTATTTTTAGGCCCATCCCTGGCCAATTTTCACTGATGCAAATACTACAGAAAACAGCAGTGTCATTTACCACTCTACAATTTGAACACTTAAATAATGGCTAAGTTACCCTTTTGGTACGTAGTATTTCTACGACACAAGAGTAGTTGGGTTTGCCTATCACTTCCCAGAGCCAAGACTCCTTACTCGTTCATAAGAAAAGGAGCCAATGCCACCTAGTAGTCGACAGAGTGAATTTTCTGTTCACACCTGTAAATATAAGGAATAACTCTATATGAAAATGGCATTTTTCACCTTCTTTCTACCCACTTGTCCTTCACACAAAGGGCACAGAGTGAAGATGCATGTCAAAAATGCCAGACGATTCTGTTATGCAACATCTTAGAGAGACAGCATGCTTACTTGCTAAGAATATAGTGAATAAAGAGAGAAAATTTCAGTTTATACTGTAAAAGCAGGTGAAAAGGGCATTGCCATAAGCATAGGAATACGACAGTAGAACAGGTAATATTTCTGCCCAACACTGCACTGTCTACGCCAATTCAACATAAAAGTTAAATCAAAAAGTAAAGTCTATAACAAGCTTTGAAGAGTCCTTGAATTAGCAAGTATGGGAAAGATATTTAAATGATTCACTGAAGTACTATGTGGGAAAATCCCAAGAACCAATTCAGACCAGAAAAAAAAAAAATAGCATCCTCCACAAAAAAAAGAAGAGTTTATCATTAAAGAAATTCAACTTACATAGTAGTTTGTAACCACAAATAATACTGTACAGGCTACAAAGTTGTGGTGGTTTTTTTTTTATAACTCTATAGCAAAGATGAGAAAAATAACAGGACTTCCAAATACCTACGGCAGGCCATGGCATAAGACACACATGATGGTTTAGCTGTGCTACTCCGTATCCAGCGCTTCACAGTGCACAACAGCCCATGAACTATCCCACCGCACACTGTAGCCCGAAGTACTCCTACTGCTCCCATTCACTTGCCACCTCTCCCAGCTCCGCTCCACTTCCCTCCTATGCAGACACTGTAACTTGATGGCACTTCAGGTGACCACAAGCAGCCCTAGACATAACTACGCAATACATCCCTACCCTTAGGTGCACAATATTCTTTCCTGCATAACAGCTTCCCTCTCCTTCCCCCTCAATCTTTCACAAGATCGAGTTGAAATTCCCCCAAGCATTATTTGACAGCTATGCTGATGGGCTCAGAAAAAGCAATGTAAGCACCTCCAAAATACCATAACAATATAAAGCTACGTAAGGGATTACTCCCAGCGGACAAAGTGTCAAATTCATTCTCCAAAGTCATTCAATACTTTAATACAACTGTGCAGACGAATATATGCAAGTGGTAACTGCAATAGAACATTTTGGCTTGGTCTTTACATAAACATTTCAACAAGCATAACTGAAAAGTTATCCACCTAATTAGTCTGATGTCTGTTCTTACTAGGAACACTTCAGCCAAACTGACTTACATTTAATTAAATGGACTTCAGACACCACACTAGTTTGCCAACTTGGTATCTGAGAGTTACATAGGTTAATGACAAATCTCAGTTACTGTCCTGGTTTGAGTTAGAACAGAACTAACTCTGTTCAGTGATTTTACTTTCCAGCTAAGTCTAAGTAACTGCACTTTCTGAGATCAACAGCATGTTTTTCCAGACGGTGCCTCCTTCTAGAAGTGACAGCACTTGGTGTTTACAGTTACTACCAAGGAATGGTGTGCAGAACGGCTCTTGCTTATACTTGCTCCTACAGCAACCAAGGTCACTGCTAAATCTTGTGCCCCTTCTTGGAGTACCATAAGTGAAAGGGGTCATAACAAAGCAAAAGGTCCCACCTATGGGGAAAAGTGAACCAGACAGGTGACCCAGAACTGACCAACTCAGTATTCCATTCCATATGCATCATATTCAGTATAAGCTGAGGGATCACAAGGGTTAAGCTCTCTTCATCAATGGCCAGCGTCCAAGGAGGACACTGTCTGTTCTTTTCCCTTCAATCCCGACCCACGCATTGCTGAATCGAAGTTTCTGAATCCAGCTCCTGAATCCAGTTCCCATCTGCTGCTGAGTCCAGCCTGGGACTTCCCCAGCGCCAGCCCTTCAGCCTCAGTGGTGACATACCGTCACGGGGGTGGGGTGTGGGTTGGGCTCAGTACTGGGTCTGTATATATTTAATTATTTTCTTATTAGTGTTACTATCTTTTCCTTTAATATTATTGTTTCATTAAAGCTGTTGTAGTTTCCTTTTCCAATCTCTAAGTCTGTCTCTCTTATTCTCATTCTCTCGCTTCTAGGAGGGGAGAGGGGTTAACGGAGAGCGTCTGTCAGCCCAGCCCCAATCCATGACAGTTACGCATCAGTGCAAATGGTATATTTTACAATGCATACGCTTACCACAGTATGAACTGCACATGAACCAGTTGCATACCAGTCAAAACTTTTAAAGGCAGTAACCCTAAGCTTCAGCAGAATAACTCACATATGGAAACCCCAAATTTATTGCTTTTTCTCTAGTGCAAAGGGATAAATTCTCACCTGTAGCACTCGGGTAAAAACCTCTAATCTAGTTTAGTTAGAACTGATGATTACAGTTAACATTAAACAAGACCTCAAAAAAAAGGTCACCTTGGGTAGCAATAACGAGGCATGTAATGTTATCATTATTATTACAAGCTGCAGTAAATGCAATGAGCTATACTGCGCACATCAGTTTTCAAATTAAATACAAATGTCTAACTACAATTTTACATTTTCCCTTCAGAAATGAGCTTCTAGAAGCTGAATAGGCTAACCAGTTGTAATAACAACAAAAATCCCCAAGCATCTTGTCTTGTGATAACAAAAAGCAAAATGCAACTCACCACTCCCAGTTTTTCAGAAGCATTAGCTTTCCACAGACGAATATTCATCTCATCTGAGCCACACAGGATATACTTGTTATCTGAAGTCCATTTTACAGTGATGACGTGCTGCATTCGTTTTGTATGATATACCTCCCTAAAGCAAAGAGAATGTTTTTAAATGATTCATCACCACTTTTCTCACCAACATTACCTTTCAAGTAGCAGAAAGCATTCTGTTCAAGGCAAAATTTATTTTTTACTTTTTGCTGTTCTTTTTTTTTTTTAAACTCTGACTTTTTTTAAATCTGATTTTTTTAAAATCTGACTTTTTTTTTTTAAACTCTGTCCTAATCTTAAATCTACAGATAGAGAGATTCAAATAAAGTGTGATGATTAGACTGATAAAGGACTACCTACGATAAGATACTTTTTAAATAAGTGCTTTCAGAGAAACTACAGTAAATAGCTAAAGAATAACTCTTTTTGCAGAGCATGCCACGGGTATACAATGCGATATGCATACTGTTCCCGAAGTAGTTTTCATTAATATGCTGTCACACTGATCACGCATTAACAGAATGGGACTGCAGAAGAATGGGTGCCAAAGAATCTGACACCACCACTACGAACAAGAACGGGAACAGTAAATAAACACCTCTAGCTGCCCATTGTCAGCTAGATTGGCTGCTCTTCATTGTGGTTCTCCTCCTTTCCCCAAAAATGGACTTCTTTATCATTGTCTATGGGACTTCAGAGGAAAAATTCTAAACCCTAAAAGAAAAGTCTCCAGTCCTGCAAACAAGAACTCAACAAGAAGTATCAGCTAGTAAGAAAGTTGTGTGTCTATTAAATCATAAAGTACATTTAATTTCTGCCAATCAATCAGACTCCTGCTCAACAAGTGCTGGCACTTGTTGAAAAATATTTCTGCGTGTTACATTTAAACAAATATTTAAATGAAACTCTTATCTTATTTTCATTAAGTATGTATCAAACAGCAAAACAATATTATTCATAAAGTTATTCTTTTATTTCTGCTATAAAAAATACAGGACTAAGTACACTTTTCTGGTAATTTTAATTATTTTTTAGCTTTCTAAAGGTGAAGAATAAGTAAGGCCTACTTATTGTCCACTAATACCCACTGCTTTGGTATATTAGTCACACACTGCAGCTTATAGACCATTCTCTTTCTTCTACCCGTTTATTTTTACGGGTAAAATCCAAGAAGTAATGGAAAGGAAGGGTGTAAACAACACCTGCACAAGAGCCATGGAAAAACTAGACTGCGGTTAAGCTGGAGGGGTTGAGAAAAAAACAAAAGTGATCAACAGATCACCTTAAACAAGCTTTTGTAAGCTTAACCACCTCTTGTAATTCACACTCAAGTGACACTCTACAAGAACAACCATGTGGAAGACTGAGCACGAGTTCCTTCAGAATAGCATTAATACATCAGCTTTTTACTGATGTTGATGTTTAACAGCATGTGTGCACATATGCATTTTCATAAGCATGTCTATGTTTACTTTCTTTTTACTATTTGGCTCAATAACAAAGCTTTTCTTCACCAACCTTTGAGACACTAAGTACCTTTCCTTTCCTTATGCTGAATTTTCAGCCTTTGCCTCTCCTGTTGCTATCACCAAAAGTTATTAAATATCATCCTCAGGGAAAGGAAAAACACAAAGCACAGACAAATAACCTGTTTTTTAAATTTATAATTTAAAAAAATTCACACAGACATCCAGTTCTCCATACCAAGAATTTATGAAATTTCATCAACTTCATAATAAATCTTATTTCTTATGGCTAATCGATTTCCTATTTAAAATTTTCATTTTAAAATAAAGTAGAAAGCAATAGAAGCTAGGAGTCTTTCAGACTGGTGGGAGATCAAAAGTCAAAACTGAAATACTTCAGGACCCTTGTTTATAGATACTCTTAACTGCCCTCTCTTTTCCAAGTGGGATCAGATCTTCCATTTGGATACTTTTCTCCATTCCACGGGATTAATTTCAACCATGCACTTCTGAAAAACCCCATCTTCTGAAGAATTTCAGGTGTCCCAGAATGCTCTAGTCAGCTTATACGAGGCTACATTCTTCATTTGTAAGGCTTTTCCTCACTAGATTTACAGCCACCATACAGAAGGGGAAAAAAAAGGGGCAACGAAGAGGAAAATTCCTTCTGAAGGCCTTGGCAACAACCTGCTATAATGTGGAATAAAGCCTTTTACTGTTGCATTATGGGGTCTGCAAGTTTCCCCTCAACAATGTGCTTTAACTTTGTACATCACCACCTTGGTAAACATTACTGTTCCACAGAAAGAAAAATCTGTAGAACACAGGAGAACTACAAAAAAAAACCCAAAACAAGCCCACAAAGGAAATGCAAAACCTAATTACACTTAAAATATTATTGCAAGACAGAAAGAAAATGAAAACTACCTGTAGATTAGATATAAAGAAAAATGTAAACAGCTCCTCTCAATCTTTAATGCAGTATAGGAGCATACAAACAGTTACACTGAATAATGCCTACATAACTGCATCAATCAGTAATAAAAATATACTCCTCCCCCAATCAATATATCAACATTTCCACCCCAAAAACCACCTAGAAATTGACCTAGTAGCAACTTCTGGAGAGGGGCAAGGTTGGAGAGAGGAAGGCAACTAGAAGTAAAATAAAGTTAAGAATAAGTAAAAAAAGAGGAAGAACTGACAGAGAATAATGAAGGTAAGTTTATGAAGAACAAATGACACCAGACAGATCTGATAACTTGCTTTGATTTTCATCAAACTGAAAAAAAAAGAGACATAGTAGATCCAATCTGAACTTCAGCAAAATATTTAATACACTGCCTAATGAAATCTTACATGAAACTAATACAAAGTGAATTGTATCCTAAGCATTGTCACATGAATCAAAACCTGGTTAACAAAATATGAACACAACATAATAAGCATACTGAAACAGATCACAAGCGTCCCAAATTGATCCTCAGGAATTCATATAACAATGCTTTTCATGTATTGTCTTTAGCAATCATTCATACACGATAAAGACAGTCCCTAGAAAATTAAATGCTAAAACGTTGTAAGGCACTGCAAACTTAAGTGGTGACAGATACAGTACAAAGTGACCTAAAAACATTGAAGATACATATAGAGGGAAATACGATGGGATCCATCTTGGTCAAATACAAATGAGTACAATAATCCATTGTCATTTTAACCCAAAACTGCGAAGTACTGCTATCCATTAAGTAGAAGTTCTACTCTAATGCATACTCCAGAGTTATCTGTCAACTACACAACCTGTCAATCTCAAGCTACATACAGGTAAGATTTCAATATTCACAAGAAATGAATGCCCCAATGAAGATGTTAATGAACAAATTAAGAATTCTGAAGACTAAGGAGGGATGTCATTGGAATGAATGACAGCAAGAGAGAAAGGTGTAAAATCACTCACCTGCTGTGACCTTTGTCTACAGGAAAAATGCGGACAGACTTATCAAAGCTGGCAGACACAAATTCTTTCCCAGTGGGTGAATAATCCACATCAAGAACAGCAGACACATGATCCATATGCACTGTCACAGGTGATTCCAGAAAGCGCATATCAAAAGTATACAAGCTTTAAAATAAAATGCACCAACAGCTTAATTATCTTAACAGCTCCTAAGTAAACAGTACATTTTTGCTGAACAGCTACTTTAATCACACATAAATCACACTTAAGGATAGATCCATATTGCAGAAGGAACACTTTAAAACTCCTCATAACACATGAAAAGGAAGAATTAGGCATTGTTTAGGGCCTGAAAAAAGTTTATAAACCAGAGCCTTTAGCTACTGGATCAGACCTAGGCTTCTTGCTCACTGTCAAAGAACAGATAGTTGCCACTATTCCCTTTATCATCTGTTCACAGGTCACTGACCAAACCTATTTCTCCAAAAACCACACTGTCCTCCTTTACGCCACCTTCAGATACAAGTATATAACCTGAACTTGGACAAGCTCCTCTGGATCACTATGGCAAGCCTATCAACTCTGTGAGGTTTCTAGGTGTTCCCATATTGGCAATCACGAGTAATTCAGAGTCTACTGGGAAGCCCCCATTTGGTTGGCACCCTTTCCTACTGCCTAATTGTCTTTAGGCCAGACAACGTAGGAGTCCAAGGAAAGCTTAGTCCTTCAATACAAAGAGATACTGGCTCAGCAGAGCACACTATCTGTCGAAAAGCATTACATTAAAAACAAACACACAGCCGCTGGACCACAGCTGGTTTGCTCTTAAACACTTCAAAGCTCAGGTGAGGTCTACCTGTACTCCCCTTGAATCAACAAGCCCACTAATACATCGCAAGGCATAATAACCGAGTAGATCATCAATGTGCCTAGTGCCATCAAGCAAAGGTGCTTTACAGACAAAGTATTTAATGAAATCTGCTTAAGATATACCATTTAGTAGAACTACTACATCAAAAATCTGTAATTTAGCAGCTTTCTCACCCTCCTTGCTGCAGATGAATGCATAACTGGAATCCAATGTCTCTTATTCTATAGTTTACTAGCAACTACTGCTTTTTCCTTCTAAATTCCCCTCAAAAAGTATGATAGCATCATATTCAAAACTGCTACTCCATACAATCAGCTAACACTTGCATATGCATTGTTGATACATGCATTTGCCATTGTGCTTATAGTAACTGCCTGAGCTTGCAAGAGGATAATTGCCCCTGACAGTAGCAGCT